ACGGTAACAACTTTTGATCATAATCAAACTGGAGCCAGATTCAGAATGATGCCCTAGAGACAAGTGGGAGCCTGTCTTCCTCCCCTTACATGTAAGAGCGCAAACTGGGATGTTAACTGTGGGCCCAGAGAACAAAGAGTTAAGCTGCTGAGGCACAAGATATCAGAGCACTGAGCCACAATACCAGCTCATACTTACGCTCAGAGTTTTCTCTGCTTGCATCCTCTGTACACTGCACTAGTTTGGTCTTTTTCAACCCCTCCTTGTGGTGGTCACAGAATTCCTCCCCAATCATCCTCACATCCAAGCAGATCTGTGGAGGGATAGTGGAACAGGCTGTTCCCCCCTGAGTCCTGACCCAATCCCTGAACATCCAAAATAGAGAATTCTGCCCCCAGACATCCCACACCAGGTTTTTACACTACGGCCAAGCACATGGTAGGGACAGAACTTTGGGAGTTCACTTGTCGCTGTGTGAATAGCCAAGTAGTAGAGATCGGATCAACAAAGCTCATAGTTATACATCTCTCTACAGTTCTCAACGCTATGCCAGTAACAATACAGGATACTGAAGGGATTGAGTGCTGCAGCCCAATGTAACATGCTGTCACCAGCTTTATAACTAAGTTCTCTTCAGTTTAGAAATTTCTTATAGCACAGATGTATCCTGTGAATAAAAGCATAATATTCCCAATAAACACAGCAACTTAAACTTTCAACTTCAAAGACTGGAAAAGGGTTAAAAGTAAAAACAAACCATCAGCTTCATACTCAGCGGGTACAGTGAAGCTGTAGAGAGTAACAGAGGGTCCTGTGGCACCTTTAAGACTAACAGAAGTATTGGGAGCATAAGCTTCCGTGGGTAAGAACCTCACTTCTTCAGATGCAAGTAATGGAAATCTCCAGAGGCAGGTATAAATCAGTATGGCGATAACGAGGTGAGTATAGCACAACAATGAAAGCTACTTAATAGTTAGCGAGAAAGAGCTGCCGAAAGCTGTAGAAAACAAAGTACGTTAATACTTAATGCTAGAAGCTGTGGTCATATACCAGTGCTCTAGGGCAGAACTAGAGAGCAAGACTAGGTCAGTGTAGCATAGGTAAGAAAAATATAAAAATAAAAACATTTACTAGATAAGTTCATGAGAACTGATAGGGGTTTGTAAGACTCAACACTGGGTGGAGTTTTGCCTCTGAACACTTCAATGAGGATGGTTTGAAAAACTGAACAATAAGAAATGACAAAAACATAGAAGTCAGTGAGTAGGTGTTCTGTGTTTCTCTCTGTGATCAAGACTACTCATATTTATTAATAACAACTCAGCGCTTATAGTGCATCTCATTAAAAAAATCTTAAAGTGCTTTAGTAAGGACAGTAAGTAACAGTATCTTCATTTTACAGGTGGGGAAACTGAGGCACAAATACATTAAATTATTTGCCAAAGTCACACAAAAGTCAGTGGCAGCACCAGGAATACAACCCCTATCTCCTGACACCCACTCCATTGCTTTTACTACTTCGGTATTTGTTTTCTGTCACATTTTCCCCACAGACACTGCACTTGTTTAACAACCACAGCACACGTTCTATTAGGAACGTTAGGTACAGCTCCCGACTGCTTAAGAAAAATCAGTCCTTACCAAAGCCCATTGTCAGCATGTCTTGTGTCCAGGCCAAAGGAAGTACAGCAGCCGATATTATTTGTTATTTCTGTAATGCCACACATGTGGATGGTGCCTTGCAAATAGATACAAGACAAAGACAATCTCACACAGAGCTTCCATTTAAGTCAGCTCCGCACGTCAAGGGTTTAAGGTAGTGTTTCACAAACTTGGGACACCGCTTGTATAGGGAAAGCCCCTGGCGGGCTGGGCTGGTTTGTTTACCAGCAGGCCGAGGGACGTACTGGCCGCCGCTTCCAGCAGCTCCCATTGGCCTGGAGCAGCAAACCGCAGCCAGTGGGAGCTGCGATCAGCCGAACTTGCGGACGGGGCAGGTAAGCAAACCGTCCCGTCCCGTCAGGGGCTTTCCCTACACAAGCGGCATCCCAAGTTTGGGAAACACTGGTTTAAGGGATCAGCCTTTCAGAGAGCATGTTCCTCTCCCCTTGTGGTCTATCATGGCTCTGCAGGGATATTGCACTCAGTGTCCCTTGGATCTTTTCAGAAAATTACCCAGACCAGATTAGCTTAAGCCCTCTTTGCAGGGACTGGTTTATTCACTCATTCACTTATTTAGCTGCTCCAGTTTATGACCACTCTAGGTCCATGCAAGAATCATGATCAGTTTCCTCCCCTGTTCAGGAGGTTGCAGCCCTCCTCCTGGAGCTGGGCTGTACCTCATACAATCCCACTGTCCCTCTCCTTAAGACAGGAGCTGCTTTGCTCTCTTCCTTGGAGTTGGATTTGTACATTAGGAAAGCTGTAGAGCCTCAGTCAGCTCCTCCAGCTGGCCCTTTTCCCAATCAGTCCCTCCAGCCTGAGGCTGGGAGGGTTCAGCAGACAAACCCCTGCTGCAGTCTTTTCCCACTAACTCAGGGCCCTGCAGGAGCCTTCTTGCTCCCTGCAGTGCCTACAGGCATCTGCCCTGGTGTGAGATGATGGAGGCCAACTCTTCCAGCGTATCCCGTATTGGCTGGGTGAGAAGGGAGCCCTGCCCCACGTGCTGCAAGGCTCCTGGACCCAGCCCCTTACAGATTCAGTAACAGGATGCCTTCTAAATGCTACTTCTTGCCAGGACCCCTTCCCTATTTTCTCAGACCGTGGGTATCAGACCACTCCCAATCTCTTAAAAGGCCATGCCATGTGGCAGGGAGTTCTGACCAGCAGGCAGTACCCTGTCACACAGGCATCCATAGCTAACAAAAGCAGTGGGTATGGGGGGAAATGGCCAGGACAAAGGCATTCAATTCTAGGATACTGAGGTTTGGTGCTCATCCTGTTTGTTTTTTAAATAGTATGCTATAAAATTATATAGTGCTTCCTCACCACACATATGGGCTGCTTCTTTCGTATGGCTGGTGTAGAGCACAGCTACCAATTTCACCTGAAGTTGATCCAGCCAAGTGGCTACATCAGGAGTAGCAGAATTTACTATAGTGATGCCTCCTTCATATTTATAGATTGGGTAGTAGGTGGTAATATGTTTGATAGTTTATTATGGGGAGCCACACTGGTACGCTGGGGAGTCCTTGATTTTCCATTTGTGCATTAGATGTCTGTATCTGCCATAGTTCGGATTTGCTTCAGAGTTGACCAAGATGACCAAGGAAGGGTGAACTCAGGAACCTTCTGCATGGGCTCCAGAACAAGGTGCCTATTTTTTAGCCCAATCTGCTTTCCAAACCTCCTTCTGATCATAGCCCGATTGCATGAGGCTAAGCAAATGTTCCCAGAAAGGCTTGCAGGACTTAAGGCAGTGGGTCTCAAACTTTTTTACTGGTGACCCCTTTCACATCGCAAGCCTCTGAATGTGACCCCTCCCCCCAATAAATTAAACACACTGTTTAATATATTTAACACCATAATAAATGCTGGAGGCAAGCAGGGTTTGGGGTGGAGGTTGACAGCTCGCGACCCCCCAAATAATGACCTCGCGACCCCGAGAAACCCAGTTTGAGAAACCTTGACTTAAGGTGTTGAGGGGGCCATTGTTGAGGTCTTGGTGGATAGGAAGACACCTGTTTTCCTGGATTCGCTGAGCGTCGCAGAGTGTCGCAGCAGTTCAGTATATCACTCGGGGAGCGATGTTAGACAGAACAGATAGCCATGGTGTTGGAGTCGACTGAAGGGTTCTGGTGATACACCACATCTCTGTATTCAGTTGGTTGTCAACAAGTCGCGTGTGGCAGCATCTGCTTCATACCAGAGCACAATATTCAGCCACCAAATATACAAGTGACATTGCAGATGTTCGCAACACTGAAGCCAATGCACTCCAGGTTGTACCTGCTAGTTTCTGAATTATGTTGGCTCTCGTAGCCAACATAATTCAGAAACTAGCAGGTACAACCTGGAGTGCATT